AGTTGTTTCCGTCATAACAACCTGTTGAGGGCTGCTCGTGTCGTGCTAGGCCGTGTTCTAGGGGACCGATTCCTGAGCACTCCCTGGATAGAGAGTAGTAAACACCCAAACGCGGCTCGGGCACTGGAGACAGCTGAGAAGGGAGGGCTTCTCAGAGGAGGTGTCAGGAGAGAGCTAGGGGAGAGCCAGTACAAAGGCCCTGAGGAAGGGACCAGCTCAGCAAGTGGAAGGCAACCAGGAGGGCACGGTGCAAGTCAGATTGGGCCCAGGCCTCCCCATCGTCCTGGGGTCTCCGGCTTAGGACAGGGACCACACACCTGCCAGCCCCAAGGCTGAAGGACAACACGGGAGAGCAAAGTAACTTGGCCTCTGCCCTATGGCGCTTCCCCACCATGTCCTTGCTCCAGGGTTTGTAAGCTCAACAGTCCTTTGGGGTGGGAAGCATTGAGGGCCCCTCTCCCCAGGGTTTCCCATCTGGTAGCCGTGGTTGGGGTTTGGTCAATACTGTTGCACAGATGAGAGCGGGGGTCCTATTAACTGAAAGTCAGTGCGGGCCAGGCGTGGTGGCTCACGGCTGTAATCCTAGCACTTTGGGAGGCCAAGGTGGGTGGATCATCTGAGGTCAGGAGTTTGAGACCAGCTTGGCCAATATGGCAAAACCCCATCTCTAGTAAAACTACAAAAGTAAGCTGGGTGTAGTGGCACCCACCTGTAATCCCAGCTACTCAGGAGGCTGAGGCAGGAGATCACTTGAATCCAGGAGGCGGAGGTTGCGCGGAGATTTTACCACTGCACTGCAGCCTAAGCAAGAAAGCGAAACTGTCTCAAAAAAAAAAAAAAAAAAAAAAAAAAAAACCCAAAAAAGTCAGGGCTTCAGGTATTTCATAAGCTTTGATACATAATGGCAATCCTGGTATGGCCAGCAGCCCCATAACCCCAGTGGGGTTGCTGGACCCAAGCAGCAGCAGGAGGGGCACCACCTGGGAGCCTGTGGGAAACACAGACTGTCAGCCCTACCCCTGCCCTTGGGAGGAGCATCTGCATGTTAACAACACCAGGGTATTTCCCACATCAGGTCTGAGAAGATAACTCTAGAACAAGCCTGGTGCTCTTGACCCACAGATGGAGAAACAGGCCTGGAGAGGGGTACCTGGCAAGTTGTTGACTGGGGGCCTGGGCTCTGGAGACAGCCAGCCTGGATTGCCGGCCTGGCAACTGGCTGCCCCTCTGAGCTCCACGTGCACAATGCGGATAACATAAGTACCTCCCTCCCAGGATTGGAAACCAGGGCACAGAGGTTGGGCACAGAGGTTGCTACGTTGTTGGCAGGGGAGTGGGGGCAGCGAGAGCAGCTTATACCTCCTCTGCCTCTCCTCAGACCCCACAGCAATGGGGGCTTCCAAAGGAGTCCATGGACTTGGGAACCAATTCCTTTCCCTCCTTGCCCTTCAGTCCCTTCTCTGGTAATCCCAGCTACTTGGGAGGCTGAGGTGGGAGAATAGCTTGAACCCGGGAGGTGGAGGTTGCAGTGAGCCGAGATGTGCTACTGTACTCCAGCCTGGGCGACAGAGCAAGAGACTCTGTCTAAAAAAAAAAAAAAAAAAAAAAGAAAAGCAGCAACCACCTTTGTACATGTGTCGCTTTTGTAGATGTTTATCTCCCTGGTTTTGTTTGATTCTTATGGCACCCCTTATTAGGCAGGTGTTTTCCCCATGATATTTGGAGGGGGAGTGACTCACCCAGGTCACACAGCAAGCATGTGGCGGAACCAGCAGTGCAGCCCATCTTCTTGACTCCATAACCTGTGTTAGCTGGAGGTTTTTCAGTGGTAAATTAGAGAAATCAGACTCAAACTGGCCTAGGCAGAAACGGGGATTTGTTGGGATTTATAACTGAAAAATCCAAGGGGGTAGGACTAGCTTTAGGTGTGGCTGAATCCAGGGGCTCCAGTGAGCTCATCAAGATCTGTCTCTGTCTGTGTCTCAGCTCTGCACTCCTCCGTGTTGGCTTTACTCTGAGGCGGGTCCCTGAGCGTGAGGTCAAGGTGGTACAGCCCTGACTTACTGAGGTCAGCAGAGAGTGTTTCCTCAGTTATCAATGAGAATCTCCCCTGAGACTTTTGCTCTAATAATTTATTCTAATAATAATTTACAGCAAAAGTCTCAGGGCAGATTTTCATTGGCCAGGGTGATGGAACATCCTGACTAGCCAGGCTTAGATCACAGGTGCATTCCCTGGGTTGTGAAGGGTTGGAGTCAGGCATCCATAAACTTCCAGAGAGTCAGGGAGCTGAGTTTCCACTTCAGGAAAGCAGTACTCTTACCAACTAGCAGGAGGCTGGATGCTGGGCAGGCAAAACCAGCAGAAGCCTACCCCACCCTCCATATCCTGGACTCTGCCTGACTCCCCCATTCTCCTCCCTGCCCCTGTTCCTCCCCACTGGCTTCTGTGCTGCAAGGGGCCGCTCTGCTTCCTGGTGACTGCTGGGTGCCTGGCCCGCACCCTGGCCCTGCCCATCCTGGGGCTGCATGACATTCCATCCTGAGTCAGAGCTGGTGTTGGGCTGTTAGGACCAGGCATTTGTTCTGCCTGGCTTGGCTTTATAATAGGTGTGGGGATAGCCGGTCACAGTGGCCCACATCTGTAATCTCAGCACTTTGGGAGGCTGAGGCAGGTGGATCACTTGAGGTCAGGAGTTCTAGACCAGCCTGGCCAACATGGCGAAACCCTGTCTCTACTAAAAATACAAAAATTAGCCAGGTGTGGTGGTGCACACTTGTGATCCTAGCTACTTGGGAGGCTGAGATGGAAAGATTGCTTGAACCCAGAAGGCTGAACTTGGGAGGCAGAGGTTGCAGTGAGCCGAGATCGCACCACTGCACTCTAACCTCGGTGACAGAGTGAGACTCTGTCTCAAAAATAAATACATAAATAAATAAGAGGGGTGGGGAGGAGAGGGCTGTAGAATCTCCCTCCTTCATCAGGTCGCTAATATTCTCATCTCAGAGTTACAAGTTATTATCTCCTGCCACCAGAAGTCAGGCAGGAGGCCGCGCTGCACACCCGCTTCCAGCTGTAAGCTCCTCCATGCTCAGGTGGTGGCCCAGTCCTCCGGGGTGCAGGAAGACACAGTTCCGGACACCATGCCCTCTACTGCCCCACGCAGGCGCAGATCTCTCCATGAGGCATCGAATGCCTTTGCCTCAACCAACTGCTGGCCAGGAGCAGAAGGGCCACCCTTCTTGACTTTGACCAGAGCAACTTTGCAGGGCACGCTAGCTGTAGGGGAGGACAGTTACTCATTTGGTGGACTGTCCTATGCATTGCAGACATTTGGCAGCCCTGGACCCTGCACACAATCAAGTCCACAGTCCTCCATCCCCTAGCAGTTGCCATGTCAAACTAGAGCAGTGCTCCACACCAGCTCCAACCCAGAGACCACTGGCTGAAATTAATGGAGACTCAATTTCTGGTGCTGGGGAGGGGCCCGTTTGAACACTAGGCTTTATGGAGGGATCCTGAACAAAATAGTAGCTTGTTAGTGAGGAAGAAGGGGACAGTGTCTTGTGGGCAGTGTTGGCCTCAGTTGTAAAACATCCAGTGGCTCAGGCCAGAAACTGTACCATCAGCCTTCTTTGGCCTCTTCTCTCATTCCCTGTGTCTGATCTGTCAGTGGGTCTTGTTGGCCGAGCCTCCCAAAAGTCTCCCAAATCCCTCTGTTCCACCTGCGCTGTTGCCACTAGTGCAAGCCTCTGTCCTCTCATGCCTGGACTGTTGCAGGAGCTCCTCATGGCCTCCCTGTCTCTGCTTCTCCTCCACTTTGTCCCTTTTCACTGGCATCCTGTCCCCACGGAAACCAGACCCCTCACTCCTCGTAACACCCTTCTGGTTGCACTTAAGAGTGAAGTCGAATTGCATGTGGGACCTGGCCCTGCCAACCTTTCTGGTATCAGCTACCCTGGCCTGTTTTTGCCCTTGGGGCAGGACAAACCTGTTCCCACCTCTGGACCTGTGCATCTGGATCTCATGTGATTCTCCCTGGAATGTTCTTTATCTCGATCTTTCTGAGACTGGCTCCTGCTTATTTATTGAGAGCTGGGCTCAAGATGTCTGACCACCCAGTCCAAGCAGTACATTTATGTTCATTGGGATTTGGGCTAGCTGTTGAAACAAAGGCTAAGATAATAGATTATTTTTATCTATGCATAACAGCCTCTGTACAAGCTGTCCAGTACATGCACGGAGTCCCCATTGTGCTGGGGACCCAGAAACTTTCTTCCTCACTGTTCTGTTACCCTCATACAGGGTTTCTGCCTCATGGTCTGAGAAGGCTGTTCTTGTTCCCACCGTCTTATCCATATTCCAGCCACCCAGAAGGGAGAAGGGCATGACCTGAAATTGGCAGACCTCACTCCAGCCTGGGCAACAAGAGAGAAACTCCATCTCAAAAAAAAAAAAGTTGACCAGGTGCAGTGACTCACACCTGTAATCCCAGCACTTTGGGAGGCTGAGGTGGGCGGATCACGAGGTCAGGAGATCAAGACCATCCTGGCCAACATGGTGAAACCCTGTCTGTACTAAAATACAAAAAATTAACTGGGCATGGTGGCACGCGCCTGTAGCCCCAGCTACTCAGGAGGCTGAGGCAGGGGAATTGCTTGAACCTGGGAGGCAGAGGTTGAAGTGAGCCGAGATCACGGCACTGCACTCTAGCCTGG